ATCCTTTAACTTTTTTTCTTCATCTTTCAGTCATATAACAAGTGTTAAAAATTTTGGACACAGGCTCCCAAATGGAACCATCCTATTACTGTTTCCTTTCTATTGTTGAAGTTGATGTAGCTTTTAAGTCACATTTTGATTTCTGGAGATTTCAAAAGGTGTGAGGACTAGACTCATCTCAATGTTTCCAATGTAGCTATGAACAATTCATAATTTTTACGGCTTAAATATTACAGCTATATTTAGCTTTCCTGGGAACAAACACAAAGAAAAGGAAATGAACTTTTCTACTGCTAAAAAAAAATCAGGTTCATGCCACAGGGGAAAAAAAAAAAGTCCTACCTGGTTAACCTAAAATGCTACCATGCCTGGCACTGCTGCTTTTTTTCTTCTTGGAGGAAAAATTTGTATCTTCTTCTAAAGCTATAGAATTATTAATCAGTTCAGCCACAAATGGAGAGTTACTCATGTGAAGGTGATGAGAAAGATATTCCTGAAAAGTTCTTCTAGAAAAAGGCTATATGAACTCACTCCACAGGGGTGCAAATAAAGCAAATTACTTTTCAGAATTTCCTAGATTAGAGAATGAAATGAATATATATGATAGTTTCACCAAAACTTTTTAGTTTCCTTAAAAACCATGACAGTATATTTACAAGAAAAGAAACCGTATCAAACCTTTCAGATTTTCAAATATAGTAACATCTAGTGGGACGCAGTGGTGGGCCAGTTTCCAGTTTGATAACCACTGCACAAGCAGTAAGGTGTGACAGCCATCACAACAAGCACATAGCTAAGACAAACATAAATGGGAAGAGGGAATATAAAGAGTCACAGAGAGATAAAACGATGTGCCAGAAACAGACCCCAGGGTCTGTGGATGCCTGTTCCCTCTGCCATATACCATTCCACTTTCCATATAACACTTTCCATCCTAACACTTGCTGTAACATTTAATATATTGAGCACACTATAATAAGAAATGCCTTTGTGATACATAGTTCGAGTGACAATGGAGAGTTTTAGCCCTGTAGGATAAAAACTATTCTGTGTGGTCATTGTAATGCATCAGTATCAAGAAAGCCAGAATGAAAAAACCCCACACAAATGGACTGCTCTCAGAAACAGTCCTACACAGTTATAACTGTTTTACATTAAATTGTCTATAATAATTGCATGTCATTAAATTGTAACAATTTAGAGGTACTGGACCACAGGGAGCCAGATTTTTATTAAGGGGGGGAAAAAGGACTTATTAATTTACCTTTTCCATTGTTGGTGTTTTGTGAGTGAATGTGTGGCAAAAAGTGATCATTCAGAACAGTTGATGATAGCATCCCATGAAGGAGGGAGCTCTTTACCCCTCACCTACATTTAAGAGAGCTCCAGAAAGATGATGGCAAGGGATATTTGCTCGCTAGAGCTGGGCGCCCTGCGTGCACCTCAAACTTGGATGGGACTGCAGCACAGGAGTTGCTTTCTGATCCTCCAACAGGGAAACACTGAAGAAATCATAAGAAACCAACCCAGAATGGGGACATGCTCTTGTGTTTACACACATTCGTTTAAAAATAAATTTACTCTGTCCCTCACCATTTGCCTTCTGTTTGGTCTATATTGTCTGCTCTTACTTTGAGCTCTTCGAGCAAGAGGCTGTTTTCCAGATTTCAATGATGCAGCACAAAAAAAGTTCCCATCATTTTTTATTGTATCCACTCAATACTAGTGCCAGATTCTCCCTACTCATTTTACTTCGCTCACCCAGCAGCCTTTCTTCTTGGGATGGCAGCAGGACCATAACTGGAGCACACATCTTGCTTTTCATAGAGTTGCCTGAGAGCTGTTTGCTGTAGCGTCCCACACTTCGGTGTTCTGCATACAGCATTAGGCCGAGCGGGAAACACCATGACCAGTTCATAAGAGATAAGGGCCGTGTGTCTGCAATACTGTGTTTTTGGGGACTAACCTGCATATAGTCCTTACTCTGCTGGGTGTAATATGGGTGGCTGCCCTGTCTGGCAGAACCATACAGTCAAGAAACTCAGAGGAGGAATAGGAACTAGCATTGCTCTTCTTTTACAGCTAGGAATGGAAGCATGATTTCTTCCCCACCAAGATGAAAATGAACATCTGTGGCACATAAAAGAAACAAATTTCAGAATAACAAATCTGAGACACTTCTTTCTTGTAGGGGAGAGCCAAGATCCATGAAATGGGCTTTTTAAGAAATTTGACTTCATTCTTTCCCAGCATTAAGGCCTCAAGGTGTTCCAAGTTTTTGAATGATAAGTTCAGCTGATTTACCTTCAGTAATTTTTTTGAGAAAGATATTAATTAAAGATTAAGCATTACAGGCATATTTTTGCAATGAATTTGACACAATACTTCTGAAGTTCATGAATCTGTTAAGTCTTGGACACTCTCTTGTGTATTAGACAGCAGTAGTTATTTACATTATTTTGAAGTTGTAAATAAGTTTTCAAGGGTAATGGATTTCATATATAGAGATAAAAAGATAAAGTGCCTTCATTTATGCCTGCTGACTTCTTTTCCCTATCATACTACAATTAACTAAATAGATAAGGCAGAAAGGATGCTAGTGTATTTTTATGTTAATTAATGTATTTTAATTTCAAATAGAATTTCTCAAGCTCATATAGCTTCCAAAAAAGTGGTGCCAGGGCAAAACTAATGAATTTTAATTCTTTTCAGTATACTTCTGCTTTCATGTATTCTTTTTGTTATATTCTGATGCATGAGTGCATTCAGAGTGTGCAGCCCACATATCTGATTTTTACAGAAATCCAGTTTTAACTTTTTTAGCTACATAATAGAGCTCACCTCAGAAGTGTGGGTTTTTTAATGACCAATTGGGTAATAGCTACAAAAATACATACTTCTAGAAGGTGGACTAACTTTTAAAAGAATTTTTTAAAACAGCACATTGTAAGTGACAAATTAGCTTTCTGCACAAAAGGTGTGTTTAACTCTTTGGTAGCGATATCCTGCTATTCTCAGACAAATTTTAAGGGTGTGCCACTCTTGTCCCAGAAGAGCTGCAGCTAATAGCTTACCTTTAGCTGCAGCTACATCCCTTAGGTAGTTAAACTCTGGAACTGCACTGCATTAACCCTGCTCTTCTTCATCTGGGCGCACCTCAGAAAACTCCAAGTTCCTTGGGAGCGCAGTTAGTTTTGGCCTTGATGCTGTAAACCAGAAATCTCCATGGACTCTACAGTATACCCATGGCTGCTGGAGCTGAGGTGGTGACTATATCCTAATGCTGATGCTGAGGTGTACAAGAAACAATCTTTTTTAGTTGCATGGTCCATGTATCACACTGCTCCGATCCTAGCCAATTTTAATAGCTGTTCTTAGCTCATGGCCCCACCAGGCACAGCTTCATTGGCACAAGACTGGCCTGCTGTAATTTACTTTTGCCTGCTGTCAAGAATAGGGCACAATAAACCAGTCCTGTCCTTTGTGTAACACTTGTCATAGCAGTAATATCAAATCAATGACTATGTTGAGAGAGATTGTTACTCATCAGAGCAGATCATAAAATGATGCTTCTTTACCTTTCCAAAACTGTAGCATACCTGGGTGCTTGTGTAAAGCAGCAGCACTAGCCATAATTTACTGCATTGCAGTAAAATCAACAATGCAGCATTCTGCAGAGAGAGGCAAATACTCATATTTGATTTGGTAGGTGAATAGAGAGAGAAAAAAATGCTCTAAAAAAGATTTCTAATCACGTTACTATATTTCTTGTTTGTAACCCTCTAAAACCTTCACTGTGTAACTAAACACTGGCACCTCTTGAAACCAAAATGTTGTTCTAAAACCTTATTTGAAACCCTTTCTTTTATCAGTAGCAAAGTGAATCGCACTGATTTTTCTCAAAACTTTTTTTGGGGCGAATGAAAAAAAAAAAAGAACAATTTGAGAACTGTAATGGTAACTCATAGGTAGGTTCCTGTTGAGCAGAAACCAGATTTCAAAGTTAAAATGTTAAGGGGTAAAACAAAAAGTATCCAATTCTATCTAAAAGAAACTTCCTGTAGTTAGAGAGGAAATAAAAAAATCTTCTGTAGTTGAGAGTAAACACAAATTTAGGATATTACTTGTCCAGCTATATAGGGCAGTAATGATATATTTTTTAATTAGAAAAAAATACATAGTTTAAGCTGTCACATCTTAGGAAACACAAAAGTTGTCAACACACTTAATTTTTTTGACATAAACTTGACATATTGCAGACATTTTTCGTGTCTGTTTACAATTCGACACCTTAAACTTAGCTTCTGGTAAAACTGTTTTTTCCCCAGGTCTTCTTGAACTGACATACTACTGTGATACATTTTTATTTTGTTCATTAAAAGTTATAATGTTGAATAAATGTCATTTCTTTCTACTTAAATGATGATTATTTCAATACTACAGTAATTCTTTTATCTACTCTTGGTGTAAGTTTGCAGTTTGTTGTTCCCATCTGAAACACAAAGGTAAGAAAGACAACTCATCATCTCAGTTTGTTGGCAGGGACCTTCATAACTGTTGAATACTTAAGAAGGGTGAAGATTAATGCACGCTTGTTTTAACTTAACTATGCACTCAATACAAAAAGTGGCAGGCTTTGTAGAGTGAGCATTCATCTATACTCCAAGATTTCATAAGTTAGCCAAATAAAATTCATGTTTCAGAATTTCTTTAATAACAACAACAAAAAAATTAATATCTGTACAAAGATTGCACAAATTAATTAAGATCACAGTCCTTTGTGGCCAATGGGAGATTTCTAGAAGATTCTAGAATAAAAGACCTGTTATACAGAATAACAGCACTATAAATTTTCAAGTGAAAGACAAATCTTTACAGGATTGAACTATGTGCTAAGAGAGGATTGGAAAATGTAAAATGGAAACCTTAAAAAAGATGTTTTATTTTAGGGCAGACTATGTGAAATAACTTTTAGGAGTTAACCAATGCGCTAACTCTGCATTATCGTTCTAGGTACCTGGGAATAACGAGACCTCTTACGTATCCTGTAAGGCAGAATGGGAAGTGTATGGCCAAAATGATCCTGTGTGTATGGCTCTTATCTGCCTCCATCACTATACCCCCGCTCTTTGGTTGGGCCCAAAATGTAAATGATGAAAAGGTTTGTTTGATCAGTCAAGACTTTGGCTATACCATTTACTCCACAGCAGTTGCATTTTATATTCCAATGTCAGTGATGCTTTTCATGTACTATCAGATTTACAAAGCTGCTAAGAGGAGTGCTGCTAAACACAAGGTTGCTGGTTTTCCCCGTCTGGAAGAAACAGAAGGGATTTCGATGAATGGAGTTGGAAAACTGCACAAGGAATCTGAAGAATGTACTAATTTTTCACGACTCCTAAAGCACGACAAGAAAAACATTTCCATCTTTAAAAGAGAACAGAAAGCTGCCACTACGCTTGGGATTATTGTTGGGGCTTTCACTGTCTGCTGGCTGCCCTTCTTCCTCCTCTCTACTGCCAGACCCTTCATCTGTGGTACAGTGTGCAGCTGTATCCCACTGTGGGTTGAGAGAACATTTCTGTGGTTGGGTTATGCGAACTCTCTCATTAACCCTTTTATATATGCCTTCTTCAATCGGGACCTGAGGACAACTTACCGCAACCTACTGCAATGCAGATATAGGAATATTAACCGGAAACTATCAGCTGCAGGGATGCATGAGGCTCTGAAGCTTGCAGAAAAGCCAGAATTTGTTCTGTAAGGTCACTCATTCTTTACTATGATTAATTTATTGTTTTATCACATTAGCTTTTTCCCTGCAGATCTGAAACGAGAGTTATGGGAAGAAACACTGTTTACTGACTGAACACAGTCATCAAGAAACTGGAAGGTAGCAAGGTTAATTCCTGTACAGCCCACCAGTCCAAGCGAGCCTGGAGAAACAGGAGCAGCATCTAATGAATTTGGGCATAAGAGGAATACCAGAAGGGAGGGTGGGGGATAAAAGGTAGTGCAGGATGTTTGAGTTCCTAGTGAGGAAAGAGCAAAGTTGGCCTAACCCATTTGTTTGGCCCTTGGCCCCAAACAACTTTTAGTAGGTCTGAATGTTGGATGCATCTTGTATCCTAGAGATTTTTTATTGTAATAAAGACCTCAGAATGGTGAAAGCTCAGTATAATTCATTACTTCCCACTTTGTTGTTATAAAAATAAACCATTTAAGAATAAGCTGAATCAGAGAACTTACACTGCTTAAAAATACTCTTTATTATAAAAAGCATATGTCCATTAAACATTAATTTACTGGATTGACTGGAAAGAAACTAGTTTGTGAAATTTAATGTTGCCTTTGCACAGCAACTATGGCACTGAAAGAATATGTTACAACTCCAATGTGAATATAAGAGTTTGCGTAAAGTCACATGAACCAACATTAAAGGTCTCACCCTGTATTGCTAACGTAACAAATATATCTGATTACAGTTTATTTCAGGTGTGGTTTTTCTCCATCTTTTCTTTCTTTCATTCTCTTGGCTTCATTATTTGAGCCCTTCTCTAATCTAGATGGAGGCTCTGTCTATGCTCTCGTCTTAGTTTCTGTTGATGTATGGCTAGTCCTTGTTCCACTTCAGTAGTTAATTTATTGTCTATTTGAAAGCTTTTGTAGCTTCTTGAGATTTCTTTCCCTTCTAAAGTCAATAAAGAAAAAAATAAACTGAGGACTCAATGACATTCAGAAACATCTGGACTTTACAAACTAATGTTAGTCATCATAGAATGGTTTCGGTTCTAAAAGACCGTTAAAACCATAAAGTCCAGCCATTAACCTAACACTACCAAGTCCACTTCTAAATCATGTCCCTCAGCACCACATCTACATGTCTTTTAAATACTTCCAGGGATGAAAACTCCGCCACTTCCCTGGGCAGCCTTTTTCAGTGCTTGACAAACCTTTCAGTAAATAAATTTTTCCTAATATCCAACCTAAACCTCCTCTGGTGCATCCTGAGGCCATTTCCTCTTGTCCTATTGCTTGTTACATGGGAGGAGAGACCAAAACCCACCTTGCTACAACTTCCTTTCAGGAAGTTGTCGAGAGCAATAAGGTCTCCCCTCAACCTCCTTTTCTCGAGACTAAGCAACCCCAGTTCCCGCAGACACAGAATCACAGAATGGTTGAGGTTGGAAGGGACCTCTGAAGGTCATCTAGTCCAACCAACCCTGCTCAAGCAGGGACTTCTAGAGCACATGAACCAGGATTTTGTCCAGACCATTCTTTAATATCTCCAGGGAGGGAGGT